CGATTTTTGGGGTTTTCAGTTTTTCATATTTAAACTTTTAGGCTTTTCGATTTTCCAATTTTTTTATGTTTCGATTTCTCGATGTTTCAGTTTTTTAATTTTTCGATTTTTCATTTTCTCGACTTTTTGCAATTTTAGGCTTTGAGGTTTTCAATGTTGTCCAATTTTTTGATAATTGCATTTTTCAATGTTTTGTTTTCCTAATTTTGAGAAATTTCATTTTTGGGATATTTCAATTTCTTGATGTTTCAATGTTTCAATAAAATTTTCTGATTTTTCAATTTTCTGATCTCTTAATTTTTCGATTTTTCGTTTTTGGGTTACTTCGATTGCTCGATTTTTCGGCTTGTCCAGTTTCCCACTTTTCAGTATTTTGATTTCTCAATCTTCTGAAGTTTCGATTTCTTGATGTTTCATTTTTTTTAATTGTCCGATATTTAGATTTTTCGATTTCTCGGTTTTTCAATTTTTCAAATTTTAAACTTTTAGGCTTTTCGATTTTATGTAGTTCAATTTTCCAATTTTTTAATTTCCCAATTTTTCGAATTCTCAATTTTGGGATATTTTAATTTCTCGATTTTTCAATGTTTCGATTCAATTTTTGGATTTCTCAATTGTCTAAGTTTTTGATTTCTTCATTTCGCAACTTTGATTTTTTTTTATTTTTCGATTTTTCCATTTTCGGCTATTTCGATTTAGTTTTCCACTTTTCGATTTCTCGTTGTTTCAATTTTTTAATTTTTCGATTTTTCATTTTTTCGATTTTTTGCAATTTTAGGCTTTTAGGTTTTTTGATTTTTTTAATTTTTCGATCTTCCAATTTTTTTGTTTCGATTTTTCAATTTTTTGATTTCTTGATTTTCCGAAATTTCAATTTTGGGATATTTTCATTTCTTGATTTTTCAATGTTTCGATGCAATTTTTTGATTTTTAATTTTTCGAATTATCGGTTTTGGGCTATTTCTATTTCTGAATTTTTCGACTTTTCAAGTTTTCCACTTTCTGATTTTTTGATTTCTCGATCTTTTGATAATTCGATTTCTCGGTTTCTTGGTTTTTCAAGTTTTCGGATTTTTTACTTTTAGCCTCTCGATTTTTTGATTTTTCGATTTTTTAGTGTTATTAAATTTTTTGATAATTGCATTTTTCACTGTTTTGCTATCCTAATTTTTCGAAATTTCAATTTTTGGGATATTTAAATTTCTTGATGTTTCAATGTTTCAATAAAATTTTCAAATTTTTAAATTTTTTGAACCCTTAATTTTTCGATTTTTCGATTTTGGCTACTTCGATTACTCAATTTTTCGGCTTGTCCAGTTTTCCACTTTTAAATATTTTGATTTCTCGATCTTCTGAAGTTTCGATTTCTTGATGTTTCATTTTTTTTTTGTCTCGATTTTTCAATTTCTCGGTTTTTCAATTTTTCGAAGTTTAAACTTTCAGGCTTTCTATGTAGTTCAATTTTCCAATTTTTTTATTTCCAAATTTTTCGAATTCTCAATTTTGGGATATTTTAATTTCTTGATTTTTCAAAGTTTCGATTCAATTTTTGGATTTCTCGATTGTCTAATTTTTTGATTTCTTCATTTCGTATTTTTGGATATTTTAGTTTTTCGATTTTTCCATTTTCGGCTATTTCAATTTCTGGATTTTTCGAATTGTCGGGTTTTACAATTTTGGATTTTTTAATTTCTCGATCTTTTGATGTTTCGATTTCTCGACGTTTCAATTTTTTAATTTTTCAATATTTCGATATTTTGATTTCTCGAATTCTGGATTTCTCCATTTTTCAATTTTTCGAAATTTAGACTTTTAGGCTTTTCGATTTTTATATTTTTGGATTTTCCAAATTTCTGATTACCGAATTTTTCGGAATTGCAATTTTGGGTTATTTCAATTTCATAATTTTTCAGTGTTTCGATTCAACTTTTGGTTTTTTGGTTTCTAGATTTCGCATTTTTTTATTTCATAATTTTTTGATTTTTCGATTTTGGGCTATTTAGATTTCTAGATTTTTCGACTTGTGGAATTTTACCATTTTCGATTTTTTGATGTTTCGATTTCTCGATGTTTCAATTTTTTAATTATTCTATTTCGATTTTTTGATTTCTCGAATTCTCGATTTCTCTATTTTTCAATTTTTCGAATTTAAGACTTCTAGGCTTTTCGATTTTTATATTTTTCGATTTTTGAATTTTTTGATTTCCCAATTTTTCGGAACTTCAAGTTTGGAATATTTCGATTTCATAATTTTTCAATGTTTCGATTCAATTTTTTGATTTTTTGACTTCTCGATTTCGCGTTTTATTTATTTCTTAAGTTTACGATTTTTCGATTTCTCGATTTTTTCGATCTTTTAATTTCATAATTTTTCAATGATTCGATTAAATTTATTTGATTTTTAAATTTTTTCAATTTTTTTTTTCGAATTCTCGTTTTTTTTTATTTTTTAAATCTTACATTTTTCGACTTTCCAATTACTCCTATTAAATTTTTCGATTTTTCGAACTTCGACAATTCGAATTTTCGATTTTATAACTTTTTCGACTTTTTGCTCAATTTTTCAAGTTTTTGATTTGTCGATTTTTCAATATTATACAATTTTATAAAATTTAGATAACATTTACCATGCAAAATCTTGAGATGACTACTGTTCATCCTTTCTAAAAACTAAATGAAATGCATAATCTTCAAATCCTTAGAACACGAGAATCCTCAAATCCCCAGAACTTCATAATTCTCAAATCCTCTGAACACCAGAATCCTCAAATCCTTAGAACACCAAAATCCTCAAATGCTTAGAACACCAGTTAGTCCTTTTTTGCTGTTTTGGTCCTTTTTTGTCCTTTTGGTCCCTTTTCGTCCTTTTTCGTCCTTTTGGTCCTCCTTCAGCCATTTCGTCCTTTTTCGTCTTTTTCATCCTTTTCCCCCTTTTGATCCTTTTGGTCCTATTTCATCCTTTTCGTCCTTTTTCGTCCTTTTCGGCCTCTTTCGTCCTTTTGATCCTTTTTCGTCCCTTTTGTCCGTTTTCGTCCTTTTGCTCCTTCTTCGTCCTTTTAATCCTTTTTCGTTCCTTTTGTCCTTTTTCGTCCTTTTGGTCTTTGTCTTTTTTTTTCGTTTTTCGTCCTTTTCGTGCTTTTCGTCCTGTTGGTCCTTTTTCGTCCTTTTTCGCTATTTTTTTTTAAATTGCTTGGCAGAATGTCACTAAATATTAATTGTAGAAAAAATGTAACGATTACGTTAAAACGGTTTATGTCTTTTACTTGAAAGTTTTAAATTCCAAAATTTCAATGTTTTTTTTGACAACTACGTACTAAAAAAGCCAAGGCAAGCATCTGCACATTCGTACCCTTATTTGAGGAAACACACTTCCGTCTGAAAATTAAATTAGACAACCAGAAGCATTAAAATAGAAAACTTGTAACCCAGCTCAACGAAAATCCCGCTGATTTCCAATTTCAGATAAAATTGATTCAAATCTACCACATTCATGTACAAGGCCAAAATAATCCCATAAAACATAAAATCGTGATAAGAAGAGGAAATAAGTTTGCGTGCAGAGAAAGATCCGCACTATCTTTCAACCCCCACTTTATCTATCGCTCCACTTTTATAGACTTTTCCAGCAAACTACAGCAATTATCTCCCTAAATGTGCTTCGGAGAATCTGATAATCCTTTTAATCCCGATGTAATCAGTTACACGCTACGATCATCTCCAAAGCACGCAAGATACAGGAAGCAGGAAGTTCAAGGCTAGCTGAAATTGGCTCAGCATAAATCTCCGGTGCTGCTATTTTTTCCACCGGAAAATGCCCATTATCATCATTAATCGTCGTACAAAATTAAATAGTTTCTAATTAGTTTCAATTTAAATTTCGCTGTCACCAACACACGTCTAAATACTCTCGTTTCCAATTTAACAAAAAAACTCCAAATTTCCTCCATTAAAAAACACTCCATTTCAAAGATACACCAAAATTCCGATAAAAAGTAATGCGAAAACAATTCCTACACGTTTTCCAGGCGGATGTTGACTCCTTCCCACCACTCTCGTTTGCATGTTTAAAACGTTTTTTATTAGCGGGGTTGTAAAGGTTAACAACCCTCGTTATTTCCGCTATTCCTCGGTAATTTATAACCCTTAATGCTCTTCAAAGATACACCAAAACAAACACGAATCCGTCGAACCTCCCCTGCTAGCCCAGATCGTGTGTTGAATGCTGAAACGTCTGGAACTTTGTTTGCCTGATCGATCCCTGCAAAAAATTCCTCCAACTTGTGGACCACTGGACCAGATTTTTATCGTGGACTCTTCCGGTTGACCCTCAAATTTCCGGATTGTGGAGAGATTAACTATCCTGCTCTGCGATATCCAGGGGCCAAGTGGCAGCACATGGACGACCTTAATAAAAGAGATTCGTCAATTTACGAGGACGTAAAAAAGGGCTTTCGCAATAAAAGTATTACTAAAGAGTCAAAATTCGAAATACGGTGTCTGGAATTATAATTTTTAGGGATTTTTGTTTGCGTTTTCGATGAGGTGTCCCTTTACAGGTTTGGAAATTTTTCGTGCGAGCTTTGATAACGGAAAACGCTGCCTCAGCTTTGGCCCAAAAACACAGCTAATGAAATATTTCACGAACGTGTCCTGAAATAACACTGTTTGCTGGCGGACAAGAATGCACAAAATATACTCGATGGGGTGTTCATGAGATATTCACGATTCGTGTTTTTGTTGGGGCGAAAGGGTGGAAAAGTCAGCGGGATTAGGGACCCCGTGTCGTATGGATTTTCCAAACAATATGTCTGGGTGGGGCGAATTGTTCCAGTTTTATTTTGTTTTTGTGACGACTAATTTGTAAATAAATAAACACAACAAAAATTGAAAAATAAAAGCAATGTAATGCATCTATAAGTCGTTAAATAATGTTTGATAATTATTTTAGCACAGAACGGAAGAGAAAAAAACATTTTTGGTAATTTTTCATTTAATTTCAGTGTGGCTCACCAACTACATACTTCGTAGTCCCTCTTTGGTACTGGGTGAGTAAAATTCGTCATTATATCGTAGCTTGAGAGATAATATGATTTGAATTTGTTTTAAATTTAGAGCTTGGCAATTTTTTTCAAAAATTCTAACCGTTTTTGAAATATTTAAAAAAAATTAATTTCAAACTGAATATTTCCAAAAACAGTAGTGATATCGAGTTGGAATTATTTTCACTCCTAAATGAATCATTCCTCTGTAAGCACGATTTTTTTCATAATTTTTGGCCATTCAGTTTTCCGGAATCTTACTAAATACCATCTTAACAAAAATGCCACGCTTGCTTCGGAATTTTAAATGATAGTCATCAATCTTGGACTGTGATTACTGATTATCAACATGCTTTGTTTTTTCGATACAACTCGTCGAAATTTATCTTCCAGGATTTTTTTTTTTTTGGATTTGTAGCCTACTTAGCTAAAAGTTGAATTTTTCAGCACCTTATTTTTGTACTCAACTGATTGAAATCTGTCAGCCAGATTTTTGTGTGGATTTTTTTGCAATTTTTTTGTGAAATGTTGGCCCTTTCCTAAGCACTTTTGAATTCTTTTACGGCTTGAGTGAATCGAAAATTCCAATCATTTTTCCAAAAATGAGATATTTTAAAAATTTGAATTTGAAAAAGCGCATGTCGAAAACCAGTCATCATTCGGACTAAAGATTATTTTTCCCAATAAATCCATCATTCTTGAATAAGCATCATTTTTGGACACCCAATTTTTCCATAATCACGCTAAATACGTTCTTAACAAAAATTCCACTATTATTGCTGGGGAATGTTCGATGATGGGGGGGAATTTTGGTCCAGAATATTCAATATTCCATATTTTTGAGTCCAGCTTGTTGAAATTTGTCTCCCAGATTTTTTGTGAATTTTTGGCAAATTTCAAGAAAATCTCGTGAATTTTGTGACTGTCGATCCCCTGAAGTCATCGAAAGTCATCGAAAACTCCCACCATTTTTCCAAAATCGCCAAAACTCAACATAGTTTTTCTGACATATTTTAAAAATTGGACTTTGAAACGAATATTTAGAAAATTAGTCGACGTATCGATTTGAAATTATTGTTACTAATAAATCCATCATTCTAAACACGATTTTTTTCATAATTTTTGGATACACAGTTTTTCCACAGTTGCGCTAAATACGTCTTTAACAAAAATGCCAAGACTACTTTGAAATTTTCGATGATAGCTTTCAATCTTGGATCAGAACCTTCAACCTGGCATGTTTTTGAAGTCAGCTCGGTGATAGTTATCTTTTAGATTTTTTTGTGGATTTTTGGCCAATTTCAAGAAAATCTCGATTTTTCAATCTCCCCTTTTAAAAAATTTTAGCTCTTACCTCAAGCAATTTTGAAACTTAACAAACACGAGAATTTCATTACTTTCGATTCCTTGAAGTCTTTTAAGGCTTTAGTTCATCGAAAACTCCCACCTTATTTTTCCAAAATCGGCAAAATGAAACAGGTAATTTTTGAGATGTTTTAAAAATATGACTTTGAAACCGATTATTTCGAAAATTAATCGTCATATCGACTTGGGATTCTTATTCCTAACAAACCCATCATTCCTCGTAAACAGGAAGACACCCAATTTTTCCATAATCGTGCTAAATACGTTCTTAACAAAAATCCACGATTATTACTATTACTATTATCAAAACTTCCACCTTATTTTTCCAAAATCGCCAAAATTCGACTTTTGAAACTGAATATTTCGAAAATCAGTAGTCGTATCGACTTGGGATTATTTTCCCTAATAAATCCATCATTCCTACGTAAACACGAATTTCTTCGTAATTTTTGGGCACCCAGTTTTTCCAAAATCGCGCTAAATACGTCCTTAACAATACTGCCAAGACAGCTTCTAAATTTTCGATTTCAATCTTCGATCAGAATTCAGAACCATCACATTTTTGGATTCAGCTCGTTGAAATTTATTTCCCAGATTTGTTTGTGGATTTTTGACCAATTTCAGGAAAATTTCAATATTTCAATATCCCCCTTTATAAAGTTTAGACCCTTCCCTCAAGCTCTTTTGAAACTTAACAAACGCGATAATTTTGGTGACTTCGACCGCTTGCACACTTTTATGGCTTCAGTTTATCGAAAATTCTCACAATTTTTCCAAAATCGCCAAAATGAAAGATGGTAATTTTTGAGATATTTTAAAAATGGGAATTTAAAATTGAATGTTTCGAAAATTAGTCGTCCTATCGACTTGGGATTATTGTTACTAATAAAACCATCATTCTTGCGTAAAAACGATTTTTTTCATAATCTTTGGGCACCTAATTTTTCCACAATCGCGTTAAATACGTTCTTAACAATGCCACCAAAAATTCAATTTTTTTATACTCGCCCCTATGAATTATTTTACCTTTTCTCAAGCAGCCGCGAAGTTAAACAAAAGAAACTTTTGTAGCTACTGATTTTTTAAAGTAGCTTCAATCCTTGGAAATTCGTACTAAATTTCGAATTCGTCAAAAAGAAATGTGGTAATTTTGGAATTTTTTTTTTAATTTTATTTTGAAACCGAATATTTCGAAAACCAATAGCCGTATCGAATTGGGATTATTTTTCCAGATAGACGCATCAGTCTTACATAAACGCTATTTTTTTTTTATAATTTTAGACACACAATTTTTCCAGAATGTCGCTAATTATCTTTTTTAACAAAAATTCCGGAAATTTCGATTACAACCTGACTAAAACTGAAAGTCTTGATCTGAAACCACTAATGTACCATGTTTTTAGATTCGGCACGTCGAAATCTATCTCCCAGAATTTTCTGTGAAATTTTAGCCAACTTACCGAAAAGGACACCTCTTCAATAAATCCTTCTTTTCAAATTTTTGACCATTTCTCGAAGAGCTTTGAAATTGAGCAAACGATCGACGAAAGTCGCCAAAAAGAATTATGGAAATTTTTGAATTTTTTTTTAATTTGACTTTGAAAGCGAATATTTCGATTTCTAGTAATCGTATCAAGTTGAGATTATTTTTCCCGATAGACTCATCAGTCCTCCGTAAACACAATTTTTTTTTTGTAATTTTGAATACACAGTTTTTCCAAAATTTTGGTGATTACGTTTATAACAAAAATTCCGAAATATTCAGTGATATTCTGACGATGACTGAGAGACCATCAAGATGCCATGTTTTTGGATTCAGTTCGTCAAAATCTTTCTACCAGACTTTTCTGTGAAATTTTAGCCAACTTACCGAAAAGGTCAACTTTTCAATATTGCCTTCTTTGAAATTTTTGAGCATTTCTCGGACATATTTGAAATTGAACAAAGTTTTTTTATGTTGATTTCGATCCCTGACATTGTTTACGCCTTCAGTTCTTCAAAAATTCCTAACAATTTTTCGAAGTCGCCAAAAAAAATACGGCAAATTTTGAAATAATTTTTAAAAATGTGACTTTGAAACCGAATATTTCGAAATCCAGTGGTCGTATCAAGTTGAGATTATTTTTCTCGATAGACGAATCACGATTTTTTTTTTGTAATTTTGGATACTCAGTTTTTCCAAAATTTCGGTGATTACCTTTATAACAAAAATCGGGGAATTTTCAATGATAGCCTGACCAAGACTCAGAGACCATCAAGATGCCATATTTTTGGATTCAGCTCGTCAAAATCTTGCTACCAGACTTTTCTGTGAAATTTTAGCCAACTTACCGAAAAGGTCAACTTTTCAATATTCCCTTGTTTGAAATCTTTGACCATTTCTCGAACATCTTTGAAATTGAGCATAGACTTTTCTTTTGTTGATTTCAATCCCTGAAATTGTTTACAGCTTCCTACCAATTTTTCGAAGTCGCCAAAAAAAAATTAGGGCAATTTTTGAAATATTTTTTTAAAAATTTAAATTTGAAACCGAATGTTTCGAATTCTAGTAGTAGTATCAAGTTGAGATTATTTCACCCGATAGACTCACCATTCCTCCGTAAACACGATTTTTTTTATAATTTTTGGCCACACAATTTTTCCAGAATCTCGCTAATCATCTATTTTAACAAAAATTCCGGAAATTTTGATGATAATCACCCCAAAACTAAAAGTCTTGATCTGAAGCCATTAATATGCCATGTTTGTTTGCGTTCGGCACTAAAATCTATCTCCATGAATTTTCTGTGAAATTTTAGCCAACTTACCGAAAAGGTCAAATTTTCAATATTATCCTCTTTGAAATTTTTTACCATTTCTCGAACATATTTGAAATTGAACAAATTTTTTGTTGTTGATTTCGATCCTTGACATTGTTTACGGCTTCAGTTCTTCGAAAATTTCTGCCAATTTTCCAAAGTCGCCAAAAAAAACACTACAATTTTTGAAATAATTTTTTAAAAATTTGACTTTGAAACCGAATATTTCGAAATCCAGTAGTCGTATCAACTTGAGATTATTTTTCTCGATTGACGCATCACGATTTTTTTTTTTGTAATTTTGGATACACAGTTTTTCCAAACTTTCGGCGATTACCTTTATAACAAAAATCGGGGAATTTTCAATGATAGCCTGACCCAGACTCAGAGACCATCAAGATGCCATATTTTTGGATTCAACTCGTCAAAATCTTTCTACCAGACTTTTCTGTGAGATTTTAGCCAACTTACCGAAAAGGTCAACTTTTCAATATTCCCTTCTTTGAAATTTTTGACCATTTCTCGAACATCTTTGAAATTGAGCATAGGCTTTTCTTTTGTTGATTTCAATCCCTGAAATTGTTTACGGCTTCCTACCAATTTTTCGAAGTCGCCAAAAAAAAATACGACCATTTTTGAAATATTTTTTTAAAAATTTGACTTTGAAACCGAATATTTCGAATTCTAGTAGTCGTATCAATTTGAGATTATTTCTCCCGATAGACTCATCATTCCTCCGTAAACACGTTATTTTTATAATTTTTGGCCACACAATTTTTCCAGAATCTCGCTAATCATCTTTTTTAACCAAAATTCCGGAAATTTTGATTATAACCTGACCAA